TTAGTGTTGTACCACAACTCAGCTAGGGATAACCATTTGTGCCAGTGCTTGGGATTTAAATGTACCATGCAGCTGAGGTAATTCTCAAGGCATTGGTTCACTCTTTCTGTTTGGCCATCAGTTTGAGGATGGTAGGCAGATGAAAACTGTAGTTGAACCCCCATTAACTTAAATAACTCCTTCCAGAAGGAACTTGTAAAAATGTTGTTCCTATCAGAAATGATGCTTTCAGGTAGGCCATGAAGCTTATAAATGTAGTCTAGGAAGGTTTTAACCACAGTTGGAGCAGTAAATGGGTGTGACATAGCTATGAAATAAGAATACTTAGTAAACCTGTCAATAACCACAAATATCACATCCTTCCCATTGGATTTTGGAAGTTCTTCTATGAAATCCATGGAAACATGGGTCCATGCTTGTTTTGGCACTGGCAGGGGTTGTAACAAACCTTGGTAACTAGTTTTATCAGATTTATTTCTCTGACAAACATCACACTCCTTAACCCTTTTTTGAACATCCAACTTCATGGAAGGCCAATAGAAGACAAATTTTAGCCTTTGCTAAATGCCATGTATCCCTGAATGACCTCCATAAGCTGAATCATGCATAGCTGTCATGATAGCTTCTCCAAAATTTAGATTTCTTCCCACCCCAATTCTCCTTTTGTATCTGACAATGCCCTTTGAGAGAGAAAACCTAGGATAAGCATCAGGTTTCACAGATAAAACAACTACTAACTTAGTGAAATAGGCATCCCCTTGATAACTTTGTATGACATCTTCCAGCCACCCTGGTACCAATGTGGTAAGAGTTGTGCACTCTTCATTTGGTACCCTTGATAAGGCATCAACAACATTATTTTCTAGCCCCTTTTTGTACTGGATTTCATAATCCAGTCCCAGCAGCTTGGTAATCCACTTCTCTTGAAGTGGTGTGGTCATTTTTTGGTTTAGCAAATGTCTCAGAGCTTGCTGATCAGTTCTGATGATGAACCTATAGCCCTGTAGGTAATGTCTCCACCTCTGCACTGCCATCAACACAACCAAAAATTCCCTCTCATAGATTGAAAGCCCTTGGTTTCTTGGACTTAGGGTCTTGCTCATGTAAGCAATGAATCTGCCTTGCTGCATTAGGACTGCACCAGTCCCAATCTCTTATTTATAAAGGGCAACATGCAAAGCCAAGCTTTCAGTATATAATACTAACACAGATCAATATTGAGTGGCTCAAAATGAGACCACTAATAAATGCACTCTGCTCATGGGTCAGCTAACAGTTTGCTGTCTCTGCGTGAGGTTTTGGCTTGTGGGCTAAAGAACTCACGTCCGTTTCGCGGCCTTCTCACCCGTTCAAGATGCGACTAAGGAACTCCGACGATGTCGCGGCTGGAGATGTAGGGCCAGACTTGCGGGAAACGGTCTAAAATTTCGGCGATGTCGATGCCTCCTCACCCATCTTCTGCCTCCGAAGTGCTTCAAGATTGTAGTAATGCCCGCACTAAATCTTTGAGTAGGGAAGGAATATGAGAGTATGCTTTGACGTGAACTTGGCCTAGAGAAAGCTTCCTCAGCTTCACCATTCCAACTAAAGTTATCCTTCTTGAGTAAATTTGTGAGGGGTCTGTTGATAAGTCCATAACCTTTAACAAACTTCCTGTAGTACCCTGTGAGCCATAGGAAGCCTCTTAATTGTTTGACATTCTTGGGTACAGGCCATTGCAGCATACTAGAAACTTTTTGTGGATCAGTTGACACTCCTTGCTGAGATATGATATGCCCCAGATATTCCACTTCCTGTTTGCCAAAATAGCACTTGCTTTTCTTGGCATACAACTGATTTTGCCTCAGATCCAATAGAACCTCCTCCAAGTGTTGCAAATGCCCATCTCAGGTTTTACTATACACCAATATGTCATCAAAAAATACCAACACACTCTTCCTGAGTTTGTCTCTGAAAACCTGGTTCATAAGTGATTGAAAGGTGGCAGGGGCATTACACAACCCAAATGGCATCACTAGAAATTCATAGTGACCATTGTGTGTGCTAAAAGCTGTGAGGAATCTGTGCTCAGGCTTCATCAATATCTAAAAATATCCAGCTCCCAAATCAATTTTAGAAAAGAATTTAGACCCATGTAACTCATCAAGTAGCTTATCAATAATGAGAATGGGGTAATCATGTTTGATGGTCATTTCATTCACGTATCTATAGTCCACATAGAGTCTCCATGTAGAGTCTTTTTTCTTTACCAGTAAAATAGGGGAAGCAAAAGGGCTCTTGTTGTTTTGAATTATCCCATCCTGAAACATTTCTTTCACCAGCCTTTCAATTTCTTCTTTGTGATTGTGTGAGGATCTGTAGGGGTATTGGTGCTTGGGTATGCTGTCTGGTTTGAGAAGGATCTAGTGCTCAACCCCCCTACTAGGGGGCAATTCTTTGGGTTTATCCTCAAAAGTGGACAGTAAGTGTTGCAACCTTGGGTCATGTGACTGGTCTTGTCCTTCTGTAGTCACCCAATAGAGTTCTTCAATGTCAGTAGGGTTTTGGTGCACCAATTTGAAGAGAGAATGCCCTGATATGAACTTGCAATCTGTTACTCTAGTGAGTGCTTGTATCTTAATCTTTTTTCCCACCCCATTGACTGTCACAGTCATTTTTTTATAATCAAATTCAATTCGAGTGCAAGACTTAAGCCAGTCTCCTCCTAAAATAAGATCACAACCTTCACTTTGTAACAGCCTCAGTGGATAAGTGAAGGTGTTTTCTTGCATTTTCCACTTGAATTCATTCACCACTTGTGAGCTGAACATCCTCTGGCCATTGGCCACCTTAACCAGTAATGTCTTTACGCTATTAAGAGTGCACCCCAGCCTTTTAGCTGTTTCCTCTTGAATGAAACTCAGTGTGCTCCCAGTGTCAATAAGGATGTGAAGCTTCTGATCTCCTACTTCTCCCACAACTCTCATAGTAGTGACTCCATTTTCTCTAGTTTTGGAATTCACAGTCATTTGCACCTCTTCTAGCCTCTCCATCACAAGTTCTTGCTCAATAGTACCAGTGTCAGCCTGCAAATATGAGACTTCTTCTTCTTCTGTCATGATCATGTAATTGATTCTTTGCTTACACCTGTGCCCATAAGTAAATTTCTCATCACAATTGTAACATAGTCCTTTCTCCCTCCTAGCAGCCATCTCACTAGCTGTCAATAATTTGGTGGGGTTTTTGGCAAAACTGTTGGGAGTCCTTTGTGTAAGAGAGCTGGTTGTCTCAGGCTTCTTAGTGTTTGTATAGGGGGTAAATGTGATTGGTTTGTTGAATCCATTGACCTTTCTTGTAATTGCCTCAATAGTCACCTGTTGTTTTTTTCCCAATTCTACTGCCTGTTGTAAGTTGTGTGGGTTGAACATGGTGATAAAAGCTTGAACCTCAACAGGTAAGCCACTAATGAAGCTTGCAATAAAATACTCCTCAGTGTAGTGAGTCTGGTTTAACATAATCATGCATGCTTTTAGTTCTTCAAAATTTTCAACATAATCTGTGTAATTCCTTGTTTGCTTGAGCTTGTTAAATTCAGCTATAATCTTGGCTTCCTTTAATTCTTCAAACCTAGCCGAAATTATTTTAGGAATTCAGCCCATGGTAATGATTCTCCCCTCACACTAAATGTTTAATACCGCTGAGAAGCTTTTCCCTCAAAATGCATAGTAGCCAGTGTAACCTTTTGGTCATCAGGTATGTTTGGAATTAACTTGGAGTAACTGTTACATTTGAGCATCCAAGTTCTAGGGTTTGAGCCATCAAACCTTGGGAAATCAATTTTGGGTATAGGATGTAACACCTGAACCTGGGTTTGTTCTTGCTGAATTCTGGTGTATGCAGATTGTTGGGTTTTAAACCCAGACCCTCCCCCAGGTCCTAGAATGGACTTCTCTTCAGCAGTACTCTTGCCCTTGCTAATGTTGAGCAGTTGTAGTTGCATAGCAGCTATAGTGTCAAGTTTGCTTGTTAAATTGTTGTTCACGCCATTGATTTGATCCTGTAACTTGAGCTCTGTCGCCTCGCGTTTTAAGGCTTCTGTCTGTAGTATCTGATCGGCTTTTTTCTGTGCCTCTTGTAGGTCTTTGAGACGGGTCCCGTCTGCTATGGCCAAGGATCCTATGCTCTGGATACCACTGTTATGGGCAGACTTAATTTATGTAATTTTGTACTTTCATTTGAGTTTGAAGATAGTAGAAATGGGGGAAACTTTAGAGAGAAGAAATGAGGGAGACGAGTAAGAGAGAGAGATATATGCCAAATTCTGTTTTTCATTTCTGCAAAATTTTCTTTTACATAACAACTTATGGGGACCACATAATTTCCCCAATAATTCCCAATGTACCCTAAATTGACATTTAAAGTAAATAACAATGTTGGGCCATACTATGGGCTATTTACAACTTAAAATTAGCTAATTATTATTTGCACTCGAGCCCAATAGCTTAGAACGATCCTCGCCTGACCCATCTGCGCTTGGCCCATCCTTGTTGACTTTCTATGAATTGTGACCGTCAATTCTTTTAGCTTGTTCAACTTTGTTGACAACCAAAACACCTTCACTCTCATCTCCGACGGCTAAAACACCTTTAGCCTCGTCTCCGGCCATAACAAATTACGAATCGGTTGTTAGATCCACCGAAAGCTATAAGAAACTGCCGATCTATAGTCGTCGATCTTTGATATGTCGTCGTATTCTCCATATGAACCTCCTTCAGTCGCGACTCTTCCCCGGTAGGATCTTCACAATCAGCGTCGTCTAAAGGGATGGATGTTGGGGGCATGATTTGTTTGCTCGAGGGATTCAACAGCGAATGATGGAGGCCGTCGAAGTCGGTCGGTGGTCGTTGGGGGTTCGATAATGGTCCTTCAGCTACCGGTGGCGAACGCTTAGGGCTGTCCAGTAAGAATATTTTGGTGCGAGATCAGGGTCGTCGACGACGATGCGCCATAAAAGAAAAAAAATGCTAAAGAGAAGGGGAGGAAGGAGGATCGCAAAGAAAGAAAAAGAAAGGAGAAAGAAAGAGATTGAGAAGAAGTGAGAGATGGAGCTCACAAATTTGATATATTAATTAAACAATGTTATATAATTAAAAATTCTATGAAGTCATTGGATGGTTTTCTTATGGAGTCATCCACCACTTAATGTATTTACACATGTCCAAGTCTAAATGGTATTTATTCGAGAACACGTGTTAATACACTATTGATGAGTAAGTATTGATGACTTTATAAGTCGAGTTATCTAATAGCTACATAATAAAATTGTAAAGTCTAAATTGGGTATGATAATTTTTTTATAATTAATTACATGAGGCATTGATTTACAACTCGACCAATCATTCGACATTAATCTTGCAATTTTTTCAATCCATAATAGCTTCTCCGTCCTTCCCAGGGAAGAAGGAAACGTAATCAGAAAGGGAAGAACAGAGGCAAAAATTCTTTCGTTTCCTTCTCCCATCAATTATTTGGGCACTTCTAAAATATTCCCGTTCACGAGCCCAGCAACTTCTTGTTGTCTGTGCTTATCTTGGACTTCAGCTTCCATTTTTGATTTCGTTGCCGCGAAAATAATGAGCAGTGGTTCTAGTGAAAGTGTAGCAGATTTGTTTGCAGAGGCGTCTAAGGTTGTAGATGCGCTCTACATCACAAGGGACACATATTTTCCTGCAAATCCAGCTGACAAAACCTCGAAGCTTCTTGTCGAGTCAAATATCGCCCTCAAACTGCTTGATGATGTTCCTCCAGGTAGCAATTAACCTAGATTAGTTTTGCTTTTCTCTTTCCAATCCAATAATTTCCAACCTCTTTATCTTTTTTTCCCTCTTTTAATTGTAATGGTGTAGAGAAAAGGAAGACGCCAGCTAAAAGGGCGATTTACGAGTATCTGAGAGGGAAAGTGTTGGATGTTTTACCTGAGTACAAGAAAGAGGCTGAAGATCATCTCTCCAAGGCTGTGAGTAGTAGTTAACGAACTTAATTGGGCTATCTTTATTTCTTTATATTTGTGCTTTTGGATTTTTTTTTTAGTTGTTGTGGGTTTTCTTAAATGTGATTTTGTGATGGGTACTTAGTTGTATGTTCTATGCTTGAGGATTCAGGTGTAACTGGATATTTTAGTTTCAAATATCCATGTTGCTAATTGATTGATAGTAAGAGAAGCTGTGAATAATCAAATGTGTAAGTAAGCAAATTGTTAGTTTCAATTGTTCATGGTATTACCACGAGATATTTTTTTCTTCTCTTCTTTCTTCTCTCTCCTTAATCCGAAAGACCAATAAAGTTTAATTAGCGACAGTGGACAGCAACCTTGTGTTGTCAAGAATTTGATGCAACTTAGTATGATGTATTGATATTCATTTGATTTATCTCTCTCTTTTTCTTTTTCGCCTTTAATGTCCATTTATATTGTAGGTAAAACTTAATCCTTCACTTGCGGATGCTTGGTTAAGCTTAGGGAACTGCATTTGGAAGAAAGGTGATTTAGCTTCAGCGAAAAATTGTCTTACACTAGGTTTAAGCAAGGTCATTCTCTTAATCCCGTGAAATTGATGGTGGAGTTTTCTTTTCTTTTATTAATTTTTTAATTTCCTATTCATTTAACAGGGTGTATCTATTTTCAGGGCCCAAATAAAGGGATTCTTTGTCAATTATCAATGCTTGAAAGAAGAATGGCTCAAGGCAAGATAAATAAACCTGTCACATAGTTTAGGGAGTGAACCTACTCATGATAACTTTGCTGATAATTAGCCATATTATTTTATTTTCCTTGTATACATCTTTCAGGGGCTCAAAACCAGGTAGAAATTGTCAATGACAGCATAAAGCACGCAAAGGAAGCAATTGCGTTAGATGTTAAGGATGGAAACTCTTGGTGTACGTGTTTCAAAGATCATGCCTAGCATTTTCTTTTGTCTAATTAATATTTTCAGATATTTGTACTGTAAACAAGATTCCATGAGTTATTTCATGCTATTTGTCCATCAAGTTGAAATTGCGCATTTCCTGATTTTATCTCGATCACAATTTGCTCTCTTTATTTCAGATAATCTAGGAAATGCCTGTCTCACGTCTTTCTTTGTCACTGGAGCCTGGGATCATGGAAAGCTACAGCAATCATTAAAAGCATACCAACATGCTGTGTGGATCTCGCCATAAATTTTAGCTACATTATTTATCTACTGTGGTGTCTGTTGCAAGCTTTTCTGAGCATTTCATTTTTTGTTACTTTACAGGAAAAGGATGAAAGAATGAAGTCAAATCCTGACCTTTATTACAATTGTGCTATTGTAAGGGCCCGTTTTTTCTATTATGTTCGCTTAAAAATTTCTACATATGAGCACCAGAAATTTCTTCTGTTTTTACGAGTGTAGCTAACTTGCTATGTTAACTGTTGAAGGCCTTTATTTCATTATGCTTTTCTGTCTGGTTAAGGTTAATCATTATTTTGCTGCCTAGGTTATATTTTGTGTTCTATAGTTTCTGCTTCATGCCCGTATGTTTTCCTATAGCTGTTGTGCTTACTATGACTATTTTTCTACACTAAGAAATCATTCTGTATTTTACTTCATGTGAAAAATTATAGGTGAATAAGTACTTGGAAAACTATGAGAGAGCCTTGAGTGGATTTGAAGCTGCTGCATTAAGGGATCCTGGTCTCAATGCCGTTGAAGAAGTTCAAAAGATTGTGCAGCTTCTTGACAAAATCGAGAGTTTACTACGAGTAAGATGCTGTTTTTGTCTTTAAAACAATCATTTGAGGTCACTATTGCCTCTTGTTCTTGCTAGGATGGTCATATGCAGAGTGCAGCAAGTAAAAATCCCTGTGACAATGTATCTTGCAATAGTGTATTCAACAGGTTACCAGAAGAAATTAGAAAAGTCTACATTATTGATTGCACAGATAGATTGTAAAACTTGTAACTAAAATTTGTAGATTTAATTTTATTTGTAGACAGTGAAGTTTAATAGTACTTTAATCCAACAAAGACATTCCTGTTGCGACAGCTGTGGAAATAATTTGCTTTCTTTTGCTTAATGAAATCAAAACTTTCAATGGGTCATCTTTTACAATTGATACCATTTAATTTATTGTAATGTCATTGTTAAACAGGGGCAGGCCAAATTCAAAAGACTAACTTCCTTGGCCTCATCTCTTTCTAGTGTTAACGGTAAGCAATCAAGAATCCGCATACAATGTTAAACTGTGTTTTGGTTCAAAGAAAGCATATTATCTGAGTTGAAACATCTATCTTTTTTCTGCTAGTGAACCCTTCATATAAAAGGGAGACAGTGGATAATTTGTTGGATGGCCTCAACAAAGCAGTTGCTATTGTAGGAAGAGTTATGTTTTTTTTTAAGCATGAGACTGTGGCTCCGTTGTAAGTTTGCTTGATCTCATATATCCTCGATGCAGCACTTATGTTGCCTGTTAAGTATATCACACTTTAGCAATTAAATTTCTGTCCATGTGTAAATATTAAAGAGAGTTGCAAAACCACCGTTGAGGTTTCAAAACTGAATCATCTTTCACAAATGTAAAATATCTCCTCAATATTCAGGACTTCAGGGGCAATTGTTTCAATTAAGACACATGTCAGAGGGGATATTTGTAATTTGAAAAGTAGTTGGAATTCTCTGGGGTTACTTCAAGGGTGCTTTGTGTGTGTGTGTGTGTGTGTGTGTGTGTGTGTATTTGTATAAGCCTGTGAAAATCCTTTTAACTGTTTGCTTACTTGCTTTGGTGCTGCAGTTACTATCTGCTCTGTGATTCGAGCCAGATGTGCTTTGTTCTCTCCGTGTACGGAATACATAATCAAGCAGTAAGTTGGATGCTTTGGCCTCCAAACAGTTTTCTTTGTTCGTTTCTTAGACACTTTCTTATGTATACCTTGATTGAAAATTTAGATTTATCAGTTTCAAGTGACCTGTGGTTTAATCTAGAAAACAAATCTAGAATATGGCCCCAATCAAGATAGATCGTTAAATCATCTACCTCCTTCAGTGTATTAACTGCAAGAAACTTTATATGGATAAAAACATGCTGATATATGTCCCTTATTTATTTTTTTAAATTCTTATTTCGAGCATAAATCTGTGGTTTATCCCATTATGATTCCGTATAATCACACACTAACCTCATGACATTGCAAATATTCCCCTTGAGGTATTAAGACACTCTTTCGAGGTAATTGCTACTCTTATTAAGTAAACATTCTCTGGGAGAAAAGTAGCATCAGTAGACAATTGTCACATTGTGACATGATTTTCGCATGATTTCACCTACTATATTGTATGCGTGGTTACCGATTTATTTTTTTCCAGATTAAGGAAGGAGATCAAGTCACTCTATTGGAACCTTCTTACCATTATGTTGATTTTTTCTGGAAAGAAAAGGTATGCTGCCGACCTTCTGCAAGCTACTAATTATCTTCCAATGTTTATGATTAAGATACAAATATGCATGCAGTAATTTTACAGACAACCAGTCAGTAATGGATTTAGTATCTCTTTCGTATGTTTAAGAAAACAAGAGAAACTGCGCCTCTCTTTTTTTTTTCCTTCCTGCAAACGAATAATTTTTTTTTTAATTATTTTATGGCCATCAGTCGTATCAGTTCAGATCAGTACGTGTTGATTTCCTGGAGCAAGTGCTTGTGAATGGGAAAGCATTGTCCCCTCGACATTCTGTTCAAACATCGATTTATGCTCAAAACAAGACGTAATTGTTTCCAGGCGTACGCAGTTTTTGTATGTTGTACAAAATAGGGGAGTTGGGTGTATCCCTAGATGATTTTTNATGTATTTGTGAGTTGAAGGGGTTCTTTCCTTTTTCTCCCTTTTCCATTTTTCTCTGAAAGAATGTGGTGGATAAGAGCAGAGGATGGTAATGTATATGGCATGCAATAGCATAATTTGTGAAAAAATATTATGTTTTTCTATCCATTGTGGCTCAAATATTTTAAATGAAAAGGATTGTGTGCGCACTGCAGAGTGATGAGATTTTGTTGAAATATTGGTGCTCATTCGAGAAATACCAAGTCAAAAATGGAGGCTGAAGTTAAAGAGTCATTAGAATTAAACTAGATTATATATTATAAAAGTGAGTCGGTTACATAAATTTAAAAGAGACATCAGTGTGTTTTTGGGATTGTAAAATCAAGACAAATACTATTTTGTCTTCCATTCGTTATCCTTACATTCACTTTCGAAGAGAAATAAGCCAATAACTTCCCCTCATATATCTAAGCTACCTTGTTTCCAAATACAAATATTTAAATTTTATTTTAACTTTCATAATACTTGTACTAGATACCAGCATTGGTATGAAAGAAAATTATTTCCACATCTCCTCTTATTCTCACACATCTTATCGAAATACCCTACTAAATTCTTACAATAGCTATTTTTCAAAATAGCCATCAAATACCAATTCCTATTTTTTCGGACGAAAATTATAACTCTTGAGACAAAAAATGTGACACCACCAACTTCGAAGATTTCATGACATTCACAACCTCTGAATCTCAAACTTTACAAACAAACGCAGAGTCTCAAGTATCAAACTCGATACAGGCACAACGAGTCATCTGCAGCCTTACTACCGTGTTTACAAGCAAGAAAGGGGTAAAATATTAACAACCACATATACATAAAAACACATTCCACGCCTACTATTATATATCCATATGCTTACACGAGAGTACGTTGATAAAAAGCTCTTTAATTAGCAATACCAAGGATCGGCTTCCAGTGGTTTCTCGTTTACATGTCCATGTCATCAAAAATTTCGCCATCCTCCTCGTAACTCAACTCGTCATCATAAAAGCCTTCACTCATCAAGTTGCTGCCACAAAATAAAGACCTTGAGGCTTTTCGGTATAACGTCTATAAATACCCATCCCAAATAAGTTCGATTTTTTAAATAGAAACTCATTTTGATAGATAACCGGGGGTTCTTGCAACTAATCTAATTTTTAAGGGTAGTATTTGTAATTATATACCGAGAAGTTATAGCTTCTCGCAGAAAAATACTATAGATGAGTGGTGGTACTCAAGCTTTTACCTTGAGCAGCTAAAACGAATGCTTACGACACGCTTAAGCTTTCTGTTGTAGAAGAAGAAATGATATGACCATCTACATGATTAAAAAAAGAATAAAAGATCAACAAAAAGAAAATAATAATGGGAAAAATGTACAGAAATTAGATACGGATTAAAGCTAAATTAGCCGTAACTATAGTTGTGTATAAAAGCTTACATAGCTCTTTTCTCAAGGAGTGGGTCTGCCTCAGCCTCGGGATTGTAACTGTAAACTTCACATTCTGATAGTTTTACAACCTGTGGCCACAACCATGTGATGAAACAGCTATATCTTTATTTCACCCTTTTGAAGTTCAGTTAGTGTGTTTTTTTAAAGGTTATGATACCTCATCTAAGGCTTTGTACAAGGCCTCAAGTAGGGATCCTCCTTCATTCTCCTCGAGCCACTCCTGCAATCATAAGTTTAAGACGCTCGATTAATTACGTAACACTTAGAGAAAAAGCATATCAGATGACAACTCACGGAGAAGCATTAAACCGACAATAAGAAACTAATAAATGGAGCGAATTCAAAATTCTGACACATGATTGCAGTTAAACCCTTCAATTTGAATTTCAATTGCAGCAGTTTCAGTCATCTCTTCAAATTCAAATACCCAGTAACTGTTTTCTACTTCACAATTTCATCTAAAACAGGAGACAATTTGTTAAGACGATACAAGACTCAAAAGGTTGAAAGCCAGTGCAGGGTATTTGCAATTGTGAAAGACTAATGGAACTGCTGTAATAAGGTGAAACCTAAGGTTAATTTTGTAATTTATGCAATTATAGCACACAACCCGTTCTTGCAAACGAAAGCATCCAACTAACAAGCAGACAAAAACTTTAAGAAGAGACTCAAGAAAAAAATATACCATTATGCATCATAATTAGAAATTCATTTTCATGCTCATAACATGAATTCAGAAGTATTGAACCATTCAGCACCCAATAACACCTAACAAGAAGTTTCAGTTGGCTCTCGATCACTGTTCACTGCAAATTGTTGTGGGGTTTGGTTTATCAATTAAATGTGACATAAAATTGATCAACAACACGACAACCTATTTATAGTATGTACATATAAGTGACTTCCCAATTTTCAACTTAGAACAGATTAACAAACTAATTGCTATTGGTATTATCTAATACAGCTTTACTGGTGATACACTTCCTGGCATAAAAAAGCCTTTGTCATCTCATTCTTATGGTATAGGGACTTAAAGCTCGCTGGCATATCCTTCTGCCTACAAATCAAGGCTAACGAAGATATGATTAGATTACCTTTGAGGCTTCAAACATATAAACATCGAAAATCTGCTTAAAACTGTCCCAGCTTTCTTCTGTGAAAAACTCGTGAGCTCTCACTGCACTGGTAAATAATAATAATAATAATAATAATAATAATAATGTTTAAAAGCGTATTAGCAGTCTAGCATAGAAAATGCAGATGGAAGGAAAAGAAACTAAAAAGAACTATCAAGTGACACACGGTGTTGGGAAATGGAGAGACTTGAACTCTCAACTAAACAGTAATCTAAACTGTCTGTCAAACCTTCTGACAACACTCCCAAAGCTGTCAAGAAAGGACTATTTATCGGGATGCCACGTCGCCAAGAAAGCTGACAGTAGCATTACCCATAATCCTCCTTTTCGGCTCCTTTTTAAACCAATTACAGAATTGAACGTAAGATACAGAGTTACCTGAAGTCGTAGTCCGGATACATGTGATGAAGAGTTAAAAGAAGATAAACCAGTGTCTTCCGGCTGCCAAGTTTATATGTTAAAAAAAGAAGAATAAATAACACAAGTGAGAGGAATTAGCCACATCACACAAGACAATGAACGGATGAAAAACTTTAAAATTGATTCAGCAACCTCGATCTACTACAAAGATATTCAATTGGTGAGGAGTCGGTATCAGATGACTTTGCAAGGTGATCAAGAATCTACATTTGAAAGAAATGAAAGGAAAAAAAATTAGAAACTTAGCAATATGTTTCTAAGATTGTAATGGAAACACAGCATAGAAAAAATACAATGTGGATTCACAAGCCAAAAGGTCAAATGAACAAACAGGCATATTATAAAAACTGGTCCTTCGGAGGTTTAACTAAATTACCAAAATAAAAAAATAAATAAAAAGTCGAAGGGAAATAAAATCAGTAAGACTTTGAGGTGAGATATCCATGATAAGTAAGAAGAAAACAAATTAAGAGTAGTAACCATCAAACTAAGACCAAAAATAACTAAATTGGTTAGAGAGAGAGAGAGATTGAGAAACAATATTCACCTCATTCTCCAGGCTGAGAGACAACTTCTTATCTGTTCCTGTATGTTTGCCTAGAAAAGAACAAAGCATAACTACATTTACTTCAATTACCACTTACAAATTGTCTACTCTGATATTGGAAAGATCACACTTACATGAGTAAGCTTCCAGGCATCCTTTGATAGTACGTTCTCCAAGATTTACATGGTTCAAGAAATCATTTATTCTGGAATAAGACATGTATCAGTTAATTGACTGTAACAATGAAACAATGGGGAAAAATAAAAGGGGCAAGTGTATCTTTTGTGGAAATTTTGTTTTGCCGAACATGAGAGATGGAAAGTTGCAAAAAAGTTGGATTAAGAATGAAATATTGTAGAGATTGTGAATGTATATAAGATAAAAATGGAATGATGAAAATTGATGAGATATAAAAATAGTTCAATACTGATTGGTGGTCATAATTATGTGAGTGGGTGAATAATTTTTTTGTTAGAATATGTGTAGTAATGATTAATTATACTTCTATATTGCATTGATGAATATTGTATTTTCCTAAAAATGACAGTGTATCCAATCACAGTCTGAATTGGAAAAAAAAAATAAAAAATTCCCCCGAGACGAAAATGAAAATTTTCCATATCCAATCGCACCCAAAATGATATACTTGCCAAAGTTTTGAAACTCACCGGTCCAGAGGAGTATATTCCAAGTACTTCATGATGGAAGTAAACAGTTGTTCTGCCTTTACCACAATCACTCAATGACTGCATGAACCAGAAAAACTAAAACCTTAAGGTCCCTCCGGCCACGAAAGTTAAAATTAATAAACCAACTTAAATGCAATTCAAACTTTTCATTTGAACTCAGGGTGCAACAAAAGCCAAAGCAATCACACATAATCAAATTGATTCATTATTATACATATGATAACGAACATACAAAATTTCACAGATAAATTTCATTATATAATCATGAATCATTCGCCAAAATACATAGTTATATGTATGTATGTATGTGTGTGTGTGTGTGTGTATATATGATCATTGTAATATAAAATGTAGGAAAAGTCAACTATTCACCAAGATTAAAAACAAATCTCTGACATGCATTAACGAACACCACCTATACTTTCATATCCTCTAAAATACGCTCTGATATTTTAAAACCAAAGCCGGTTCCAGTGATGTATTGTCTGACTGATCATAGAATACTACTAAATTGTATTTGAGCAACAAACAATTTTCCATGACCTCAAGAAGGCGAGAAAAATGGAAAATAATACACACACATTAATATACTGTATACAAATAATTCCAGCAGATATTTCCAAGGATCAAGTTAGATCCAACGCAAAATCAATATTTTATATTAATTCCATACACTATGTTGGTAGATGAACAAATTCGAATATTCCAAATCAAAAGGCAGCATAATATGACCAAAAAAACATCCTGATAAAAAAACACCGCTGTGCAAAGAACAAACATAAATGATAAGCCTAGAAATTCACCGACTCCGGAGGATACACGATAATCAGTAAACACAGAGTACCGCGTCTGACGAGCTTTATAGATTTTCACATAACATTATATCCACATATACATAAACCTCCTAAATCCCGAGCAACTACAAACAAAAGGAAAATTTACAGAACTAGATAAGGATATGTAATTAAGAATCAAACGATCTTAGCAAATCAAAGCTAAACGAGAAGCATTACCCGATTCTACGAGACGCCAAAAATGGAGAGATGTTTTGGGGATTTTTTTTATTTTGCAGGGAAGTCTCAAGTGGAATCAGATTTTATAAAAGGAGCCAAATGAAGAATATGCCAAAATTTCAATTGGCTGAGGATTTATCTACTTATTATTTTCTATTTTAAATTTTAATTTTGGGTTTTGGATAAGGATGGGGGACGAGGATAATTCTGGCTGAAATTAAATTCGGTCCGGGAAATCGCTCAATAATTGAAATCGTACGTTTTTGCTTATATTACGTTTTCGCTTATATTACTTTCCCAAACATGCAAGCAACCTACCAACCAACATGGGGTTTTTTCATTAGGTTAAGACTATCTTTATCCCCAACCCAATCCAACCCAACCCAACCCAATAACAAAAAATTATTTCTTTCTCTTCTACCTACATAACCCAACTTTTAACAACCTACATATCTTTATCCCTAACCCAACTCATTCCAACTCAACATACTATTTATTTTATTTTTATTTATTAAATATTATCTACAATAGATTTTTTGTTATTTTTTTAGTTGTGATAAATTAATGAAAAAAATTATAATTAAAAATATTGATTTCAAAAAATTAATATTTTAAAATACAACTAAAAAAAATATTACAAACATAATTAAAAATTGAAATTACATAATTCGGTACGAAATAAACTAAACAAGTTACAAACATTTCAAATGAAATTACACATCAACTACCATTGCCAAATTTTTCCCATATGTGCTCAATCAAGTCATTTTTCAAAGTCACGTGAGCTTCTCTATTACGGAGTTGTGACCTATTGGTCATATACGTAGATAGGTTTGTGATTCTTTCAGTCGAGTATTGAAAAGGCATATCATCTTCCTCTTCTTCTACGTCATTTCTTCTGTTCCTTCTTTGTTGCCTCCGTCCGTTTGTAGGCCTCTCGTTCATAAATTCTGTAGGATCATAATAATTCAAGTAGGCATCCCGTTCATCTTCTACTATCATATTGTGCATGATGATACAAGCCATCATAATTCTTCCCATAAAAAAACGATCCCATACTAGACATGGTCGTTTGATAAATGCAAAACGAGCTTGTAGAACACCAAATGCGCGCTCAACATCTTTTCTAGCCGCCTCTTGGTGCTGAGCAAACAATTTGTGCTTTCGAAGTTGGGGGGAAGTAATTGATTTAACAAATGTAGCCCATGAAGGATATATACCATCAGTGAGGTAATATCCCATATTTCTTTGTTGACCATTCACAACGTAGCTAATTTCTGGTGCACGACCTTCCAAAATATCATCAAAAACAGGAGATTGGTGAAGTACATTGATATCGTTGCACGAACCTGGTGTTCCAAAAAATGCATGCCATATCCATAAGTCATATGATGCAACAGCTTCCAAAATAATTGTTGGTTTTCCACTTCTTCCGGCATATTGCCCAGCCCATGCTGTAGGACAATTTTTCCAACCCCAATGCATGCAGTCAATACTTCCCATCATTCCTGGGAATCCACGTTGCTCCCCCGCATGAAGTATTCTTGCCAAATCTTGTTCATTAGGCCTTCTGAGGTATTGGCTGCCGAAGTTAGAAATGACGCCTTCTACGAATTTCATGAGAGATTCCCTCGTTACAGCTTCACTTATTCGCAAGTATTCATCAACAGCATCCGCTGATGTTCCATAGGCTAACACCCTTATGGCTGCAGTACATTTCTGCAATGGTGAAATGCCCAGCCTACCAGTGGCATCACGCCTTTGTTGAAAATATTCGTCGTTGGTGGTGATTTCGCTCACTATACGAAGAAAAAGATTCTTACGCATGCGAAATCTCCGACGGAATACCTCTTCAGGATAGGTTGGATTGTCGGAGAAGTAGTCATTGAACACATTCGCCTCTCCTCTCTCTCGTTGCCTCTCAATGACTTGCCTTCTACCTCTAGAAACGGGATTTGTTGGTTGTAAGACCATATTTGGAATACGAACAATCAAATCTTCCATAATATGATCAAATTGTTGATTTTGTTGAATCACTCGTTCTTCCCATTCATCAAATTCGATGAAATTGGAAGTTTCAGAACTAGAACTTGAATTTTCAGGTGAGTTTTCAATGGAAGACATTTCTGAACAAGAACGAATTGTCCTACGAAAAAACAAAGTTATAATTGATATAAAGAAAATAGATATGATCTGATTTTGATATCAACTTGATCTGAATCCAACCATATTATATAGGAATGTAGTATGAAGAGTTTAACTTAAAATAAAATTAAAGTAAATGTAAAAGAAAAGTAAAGTAAAGTTAATATAAAGAAAAGTAAAGTAAAGTAAAAGCAAAAGTAAGACAAAATGTGTAATATATTAATATATTTCAAAAAAATATTTTCAATATTTTTTAAAATAAATTAAATTATATAAAAATATATTTTATCAAATTTAAAATACAACTTATAAAAATACCATAATTTAAAAATACTGAAAAATTATTTATGATAGAGCAAAATATGTAATATATTAATATGTGATAAATAGTTTGACAAATAATATGACTATAAATAATTTTTTGTTTTTTTATGCTCTAAACCATATATGGTATAAACCATATATGGTCTAGTGTGTAAATTTGCACTAATTCATATATGGTCTAAACCATATATGGTCTAGTGTGTAAATTTACACTAATTCATATATGGTCTAAACCATATATGGTCTAGTGTGTAAACCATAATTTTTTTTTTATTTACTATTTGGGTAATAAACATTTATATAATATTACATATTCATATATATAGCAAATTATTCGAAATAAAAATAAATAAGATATATTTTTATTATTTGAGTAATTAACATTTTATATAAAATTAAATATACATATATACCAATTTGATGTGAATAAGTACAAATATACATATATGAATTAGTACAAATTTACACACAGACCATATATGGTTTAGAACATATATGAATTAGTACAAATTTACACACTAGACCATATATGGTTTAGAGCATATATGAATTAGTACAAATTTACACACTAGACCATATATGGTTTAGAGCATAAAAAAACAAAAATTTATTTATAGTCATATTATTTGTCAAACTATTTATCACATATTAATATATTACACATTTTGCTATATCATAAATAATTTTTCAGTATTTTTAAATTATGTTTATTATAGAGTATTTTTATAAGTTGTATTTTAAATTTGATAAAATATATTTTTATATAATTTAATTTATTTTAAAAAATATTGAAATATTTTTTATAAAATTAGATTAACATATAAAAAAATAAAGATAAAAAAAGCCTGCAATAAACCAGTTAAAAAAAATAAAAAAGGTTATAGCGCAGCTACAGTTCCAAATAGCTCTTGCTCATTCATTTAATAAGTGACTATTATACTAGTAGATAGGACAATCATTAAAGTAACATGTGATTTCTGAAAAAGATTAAAAAAAAAACACTTACTAAATAGACTTTTATTGAATAACTTGAATTACAGGAATTGAAAAGCTTACATCAGAATAACTAAAACGACATAAATGAAAGCTGCATGATAATAAATTACATCGACTTTCCAAATAAAATTGAAGTTAAGTGACGTTTCATCTCTTCATCTTCCGGCGATAAGTGGTCTTTTGCCAACAGCGTATTCAACACCATCATATTCATTTTCCTAATCTTCCTTTCTTCTTTCTTGCGTTCCAACTCCATCCTATCGTTCGATATTTTTGTCATTAAATCACATTCGTTCTTTCTTGTAAGTCTTAGTGCACGAATTTCTGCAGTGAACTCATCAGGAATGGAAGAAGATTGTGATGCTACCTTTTTTCCTTTTTTTTTCGCCATATCTCTACCTTCGGGACGGGAAATCACAAAATCATCACTAACTGGAGTTTCTTGATTTGAGGGAATTGAATAATCTCCATCTTCAGTAGTCCTTGATCTTTTGGAACTGCCATGGCTTTCTTCATTACTCGTTTCATCTTCAGGGCGCGAACGAGTTGAATCACGATCTAATTTTAATTCCCATTTGGGATGCTTTCGCATGACTTCTTCAAACACATGCAAGTCTGTAAACTTGCTACCACCAGCTTCATAAATTACATGAGCTTCTTTTTCAACATCTTTCATGCTCATTCCGCTTCTTTTATTTCTGTATGCTTCCATGTAAGCACCTCTCCACTTGTTTACATTTTCATTAAGGCGTTTATAACGACCTTTCATTGAATCCAAGTTTCTTTCACCAATTTCTTCTGGATTTTCCATTCGAGCTTGCTCAAACATTTTAGCTATGCGTGACCATAATGAAGAACCCTTCTGATTCTTGCCACACAGTTTGTCTTCGCTAACGAAACACCAAGCTGACATTAGAGCAAGATCTTCCGCCACACTCCAACTAACATTTTTCGTTCCTTTTTGAGGATTTGTGCGTGTCTGTTGCACATTTTGAAATAGATTTCGAGAGATGTTTTGTGGGGGTTGGGCATTTACAGAAACTGGAAATTGGGTAAGATTAGGAGAAAATGGCTCTTGTGAATAATTTTCGAAATTCTGAAAATTTTCAGAGTTTGACAAATTTTGAGAATTGAGGTAATACTCAAAATTTGGATCCATATGGTATTTGTTGGAAATTAAGAGAAATAAAAGAGATGATAAAATTAATAAAGTATGATTAAGAAGAGGGTGAAAAGAGAGAAATTTCAGTTGTGATCTAAAACATATCAAGAGTGGTCTCTATTTATAGAGAATGAAAAAATACGAATTTTGATATTTTTTATTTTTTTAATATATAAATAAACTCAATTATTAAGTTATCTTATCTTATCACAATAAAATTATGACTTCCAATTAAAAAAAGACATGTGTCCCATGACTACCAATAATTGAATTAAAAAATAAAAAATAAAAAAAGAAAGCAACATGCGTCCAAATTCAAGAGCAATAATAGAATAAAAAAAAATCAAAAAAAAAAAAGAAAGCAAAAAAATGTGTTGCGCTCGGTTGCGACCCAAGGTCACCATCTGACCTGGGTCGCGTATTATCCCCTCTTTTTCTTTTTTTTTTTATTTTTATTTTTTGCTTTTTTTTGTCTTTTTCCTGGTGACCCATTGGGTTGGGTCACCGATAAGGTAAGTCTAATGGTCACTTGGACTCTCACTTGGAACCCATCTTGCTAACTGAATCATATATGCTTATGGGAAAAATTATACCCAAGGTAAAAACCAAGTCAAAACCGAAAAATCAAGCTAAATTGTGCGATTTGGTGCGGTTCAATTCGTTTTTTTAATGTAAAAATTTTTGGTTCGATTTCGGTTCAATTTTTTTTTTTTCTACATTGCAATGCGGTGTGGTTATAGTTTTTTTATAAGTTTGATTTTGTTCGGTTTGATGCGGTTTTGTACCGAACCGCACCAAATTTAATAAAGTGTATAGAAAAATCGTGATAAAATTGAAAAACGACCCAAATCGTGCATTTTGGTGCGGTTCGGTTCTATTATTTTAGTGTAAAAAAATTCAGTTAAGTTTTTCTAAATTGCGGCACGGTCAAGTTATTTTTTATATATAGGTTCAGCTATTCGTTTTTGTGTAGTTTGATGCAGTTTTTCACATAACCACACTGTCGCTCACTCCTAGTTATAACTATAGTCAAGTTGATTTGATGCGACTCTAATTTTAGTCCTAGGTTCTTAATTTTCACAATTTGGTAATATGATTTAAAATTTGCACGCAATTTCATTCCTTCTAGCGTCGGAAATTTGGTTTTATCGTCGGATCAAGAACACAATCGCACGTGATGTATTATCCAACCAACTAAGGTGACTTGACAACCCATCTGTGCGCATGAAAAAGAAAATATTATAATTGTTGTGTATGTTTTTGTTAATATTTTCATGTGTTTTATGGTTTTCTTTTTAGTTTAATTGAGTTTGTTTTATACTTTTTCCTATTTGTTAGATTGATTTTGCTTGTTCGTGTGTTTTCGTATTATTTGCGCATTTTTGTGTATTTCGCGTCTACTTTTATATTTTGTTTTTTGTATGAAATTGCTTGTCGAAAATATGTTTGACGTCGCTAGAAAATCATCAGAAATTTGCCGGAAACTCACTGGAAAGTTGTTGGAAAACTTACCAAAAAATTCCCAACCGATCGGCCCGATAAGTGCCTGGTGGACCTGCGGCCCTGAACTAAGTGATGTTCGTGCGCACAACAATGGCCTAGCCTGCGCACACCTAGACCTTGCGCGCACCACAACTCTGTGGAAGACCGTGAATCCCCCAGTTGATGGTTAGTGGCTCATCGGGGCCCGACACCCCGACAAGACAAGAACCTATTGGGGAAAAAGGCTGACGAAAAATATCGTCAGCAATATTTTTATTATTTGAGTAACAAAAAATTATATAAGATTAAATACACATATATATTAGAATTTATTTGAAATAAAAATGAGTAAAAAATAATATATTTAATGTAGTGTAAAATGTAGCGCGGACGACTGTAGATGAAAATAGATATTTGGCTTACTCTATTCTAGTATAGAGTTATATGGACATGGTGAAACAAGATATGAGTAATGGTGTTGCTTCTCCTCTACGTTTCTATTAAAGACCTTTGTCGATAGGCTCTTCGTAAAAGGATCTGGGAGTAGACAAAGTCTCAGCCTTTAATAATTGATAAGCACGTAGTCAACTTCTAAATTACCTTAGACAAGCTAAATCAACTCAAACTCAACATGGTTGCGTATCAGAACAAACAGCGTTTGGCGCAATCCACGCCTATTGCTCGCTGACTACTCATCGATTTGCCAGCGTTTGAGAATTCCTCTCGACGCTCATGCTCAGCCAAAGCTTGGTGCAAGGCAATGAAGATCAAACAACTTTTTTTCTCAGTGGCTCATCTGCAGGCAAACGGACAGCCTGAGATCACGAACAGATCAATATTCAGTGGCCTCAAAATGAGACCACTAATAAATGCACTCTACTCATGGGTCAGCTAACAGTTCGTTGTACCCGCGTGAGGTTTTGGCTTGTGGGCTGAAGAACTCACGTCCGTTTCGCGACCTTCTCAGCCATTCAAGATGCGACTAAGGAACTCCGACGATGTCACGGCTAGAGATGCAGGGCCAGACTTGCGGGAAACGGTCTAAAATTTCGGCGATGTCGATGCCTTCTCACCCATCTTCTTCCTCTGAAGTGGTTCAAGATTGTAGTAATATTCGCACTAAATTTTTTAGTAGGGAAGGAATATGAGAGTATGCTTTGACGTCAACTTGGCTTAGTGAAAAGATCCCTATTTTTTCTCTTCTTTCTCCTATTCTGGAGATAGACTAGGTGAAATAAGAGTTAGTTATCCCTCCACGTTACGTTAGCCAAAACGGAGCAGTTTGAGCCCTATCAAACAAGCAACTTTTATGTCCTTTTCGTCGAGCATATATTTAAACCTCCATTCATATATTCTATTTCCAGCTAGATAGAATTGAACTAATTGTCGTGAAAGACTAGTATGATTTTCGAGTTAGTTGATCTTTGACTAACGAATTACAGCGTGCTTGACATAATAACTTGTTGACATCCAAGTTCGCCTCCCAAGAGAACCGGATCAAAGTTTGAACCGGGGGTTCGGTTCGGTGTGCAGGTACCGAGCTGAACCCCGAATTAAGTTAACCGTCACATCCTCCCGGGTCTATTCTCGAGACCGGCATTTATGCCGTTCATGCACTGGCGCTGACCTGACGTGGGCGACGGACTGAAATAACACTCGAGGGAGTCAAAAGAGCAGCGTGAGCTCAAGAGCCGACCTGAGGCTTCAAAGCCGTTTTCTTAGAGGCAGGTGCCGAGTTCGATAATACAATAATAATGCCACTTGGGGGGTAATCATTGGTGATTGGACGAGACATCACAGCCTGCAGGCCTACACCTACTAGACAAGACATAAAGCTGGGAAGCATTAAATGACCCCCATGTGTGCATTAAATGCCTGATATGCAATGATGAGGAAAACCTCAAATCGCATTTAATGTCTGTCAGGGAGACGCCGAACTGCTCTGTCATAATACTGTACCCGGTGAACAGTATGTGAATAGTGCCACATTTAAGTGCACTATAAATAGCAGCCCTCTCATTTATTTCTGGGTTGTTGAATCCCCCATTAGCAAAAACTCTCTCTACTTTCTCTCTCTAAATTTGTACTAAACCTTTGTAAGAATTCGTAAGGAAATCCCAAGTGCTGACCTCGTACGAGAGGCCGACCCAGTGATCTGATAATAAAATCACAATTAAACCATATCTCTTCGTCTTTTCCTTACTTCACCTCAGTTATTTACTTTTTTAACCGTTGACCGGAAACGCCCGTCAACATAACTCTTCTTGAGCTAATTTCAGGGACGTCATCAACTCGGCACACCGGGACACAGTGACTATAAATAATTTTAGCGACATATCTTGTAACCAGAATTAAGTAGTATCAGTGAAATTGGTTTAATTCGTTGTTGATCAATCAAACGTAAGACATGTGACGGGCAGATTTGAGCATTCGTCACCCACATAGACGAGAGGTTTATTCTATCTTCGTCCATGTAACTTGGGTACCATTTCGTCTTCTAAAGCCGCTTCTCCTTTACGCAAATAGGGAGGGTTCTTACCTTTTCGGCATGAAATTTCACTACCAAGGAAATGTTTTCTAAGATGCCTCAAGAGATAGAGGGTTGTGAATATCATCATCATTTGGTAGAGGCAAAAGCATTAGAGGATCCTAAAATGCGTTTTTGTCCAGTAGTTCATTCATTTATCGACCTCCTACTCAATAACTCTATCCATCTTAGCTCCAATATGGCCATAGGATCAATGTTCAACTTGTGTTCGATTATGTCTTCCTCGATCCCTGTCAGCTCATAAGGTTCATTCTTAGCATGAATGACATATAGACAGTTCCTAATGCTTAGCAATAGGAAGCCTAGTCTAAGTGTAACCCATTACCTGATCCTAAGGTCATCAGAAGATTGATGTACCCGGTGGCGAGGCCAGTAAGCTTAATACACAATTTCCTATAATCATCTGACTAGAAGTTTGTCCTGGTGATCCCGCAATTTAATTTTTAGCAATGTTCCCGGGTGGGTGGCGTTGACTGGTTTGCCTTCCGGCCTAGTGGAATAGGGACCCATCCTTCCTAGCTATCATCTGTTGTGGCTTGGGGTGACCCACGAAGCGATCAACCAAGCAAGGCTGTCAGGTCTACTAGATGCTCCTTTGAATCCACTTAAAGGGCTAGTGGAGTAGGTTGAGCCTGGAGCCTCAGATAGGTCCGCGGACTGCGGAGTCTCCGTGGGTCGCAACAAACAAATCATCTGTGGGAACAAGTCTTGAGCGCAGTTAGGTCTGCGGGCTACAGTGAACAAAATTCGCCAACAATGGCCAGCTGCACGTCTGCACGTTGAATACGAGTAGGAAATCACATAGTGGTCGCATTACTTCGATAAATACTCACTACGCCCGTGGCAACAATAGATATCAAGCCTCATTTACTAAATTGCATACACTAGGTCAGACGACGCAAGACTACCGCACGCAGTGAGCTGCAGCACACCGCGACCAGCGCGTGACGCGGCGAGGCAACAAGCAACCCCGACGATTGACGATCAGCGCGAGCAGTGAACACATGGCCAAGCGACGCGCACGATCCGAAGACCCGGAGACGGTCGAAGACTGCTGACAGGTCTTAGGAGGCCGAGAATGCTTATTTCGGCCACCTTAGTCGCAACAAACTGGAGGTGAGAGTACAGATCCGATCAATTCGTCTTTCGAGTCAGAACCCTCTCAACAAAAGCGGCCAGGCCCACATTCTTCTTCGTGGCCGCTAGAGCAGGTGTCCACCACGGGTGGTCTGCGGGGAGCGCTGGGTCACCATTCCAGCCTTCAGTATAGATAGCCCCTTTGTGAGTGCGGTGTCGTCCCACTCGCGGGTGTACCCCCAGGCTCTCACAACTACTTGCGGTCGGCCCTAGCCATGAGGAGAGTAGCTAAATCCCTTTTGAACTACTTAAGCCTAGGGCAGTGCTTTATTTAAACTAGCCCTGAACTAAGGCGGAAGGAATAACAAGCAAAAGCAGATTTAGTTACGATTAGAAATTGCCTTTGTATCTTCTGCCATGGATCCTTTACTCATGCTTATTCAATTGGAAATCACGACCAAATTCCAAAATTCTACTCCGTGATTTCATAATCCAATTTTTACCTCCCTATTATGTTGAGTATGTTGAGTACAGTTCGACAATGGATTTGTCCTAACTTGCTAGGAAGCTTACCCGCACCGTCTAACTCTTAAACCGGTAGTAGCAAACAAACTCTGATCCGAGTACTATTCCCTCGGTCTAACCTCAATCCCTACGGTATGAGCAAGCAAGGAAAGCATACGAGCTAGCGTCTGAAAGCCAAGACTATGAGTACCTACTTCTTGCTATGAGTTGTAGGAGCTTAACTGCGCTAGCAAAAATGTAAACTAAGGGAAAGCAAAGACTACTAAGTGTAGGAAAGCGGCTAAGTCTAAATTTCGCTGGATAGGGCTAGACGTAAAGTTTGACAAAATAACACATGTTCCTTTACACATCACATCCCTTTTAAAATCAATAACTATTAAACTTACACATCTCTTTAGATCCTATCAGTTATGGTAGTGCACTTACTAGGATTTTAGCATTGGAACAGGCACTGAACCGCCCATTCATCCACTTTTGATCCTATCATTGATGGTAGTGCATTTACTAGGATTTTAGCAATGGTAGTGCACTTACTAGGATTTTAGCATTGGAACAGCCGAACAGGGACTGAAACGCCCATTCATCCACATGAATGAGGGTTGGATCAAATGATAAATAATACGGATAAAGAAGTTCGGTGAAAATAGCGCCCTAATTTTTTTAACTAAACATCAAATTTCATTAAAACATACGCAAAAACAAGAAGACCAAGAAGAACACCACTACACAACCGCAAGAAGGCTACAGAATCAAACAAACAAGACAAAGGAAATAGCACACTAATCGATAGCCACAATTTTTCCCACAAAATGTAATCGCAGTTGTTACCAGTCACCTCATATTGTTAATCATTATCCTCCTTACATATGGAATCACATAAAGGGTAAGCAAGTCAACACAAAATACCAAATTACCATTACAAACTCTTCCATGTTCACATACAATTCAACTGTAAAAAAATCATGTAATCCACCAAAATCCGGAATTCAATACAAACTTCTCCCGTATTCATACATAGGCAAATGTAAAACAATATGTACAGTCCAATCAGATAGCAAATCCCGAGAACATAGTCGACTACCCTCCCAAAATGCTTGGGATCTCGTTCTCAAACAAGCCTTCATCTCAAACCTTGCGTATAAACTTTACTCGGTAAATATTTCGGTTTAACTATACCCGTTCCAGCTTCTCCTTGGCCTGAAACAATCGCGTAGAGAAAACAAAAACAAGGAATAAATAAGCAACACCAAACTCTCCTACAATAGTCTTCATCTATCTATACCCTCTCATTTTTCATTCTCTATCAGTTAGCAAACAACAGCTATTCTCATTTTTTGTTCCACATAAAATATGTTTCATATATTCTTTAAAGGATGTAGATGGTGTTTATACTTCCGGCTCTTCTGCTGTTGGCGCCAGTAGCAAGCGAGGGCTCCAAATGCACAGCTGGCAACAGCTATAGCCAAAGCGGCCCCCACAGGTACCACCACTGCATGTGTCGACACCGAGGCTGCCAGATCATCATCCAACACACTTTCAACCCCTTTTTGCGCGAGTTGCTTCTCCTTGTCCTTGTAGAGGCTCACGAGGGTATTTCCGTAATAATCTGTCAAGAACTTGTGGACCTCATCGTGGTCCCAATCGAAAGCGTCATTTTTTCTGTTTTTGTAGCAAGAAGGGCAGAGCTGTTGTGGGGGCCAAATGGCTTTTGGGAACTGTGGGTCGCCTGTCTTCAGATTTGCCTCCTCTTTTTGGAGTCGTTCATTGACTTTGTTGTGAGCTTCCCATAACCAGATGACAAAATCACGTGATCTCTTCAGAGGGCTAGAAATGCTGTGAGTGTGATGATATACACATGGTTAAAAAGAT